CTTTTTCACTTAAGTTCCAATTTAAGTCCTGTATCACAAGTAGTTTGTACAACTGCATCCAATATCAGAAGTTTCTGATGTCAAGAAGAAATATTCCGTAAACTGAATTTTTTAGAGGTTTCACTTGCTCCAAAATGCTAACTGCATTTTAAAAGGCTTTTGTATAATCCACTGAATCAAAAGCTAGAATACATAAATTTTATAGTCTTATTGGTGGACGTTACCACAATCATAGTCATTTACAACGCGGCTCAAATCCGAGGTACTTCACTACAAAGAAGAATTTTTCTCAATCCATATTATTTGTGGCATCGTTAGTACCGGCGATCTAGCGTTTGTATCAGACTAGCAGGTAACCGCGCCCTTCTGCGTCTAAATAACCAGATGAACAAATGGCAAGAAGTGGCTGTATAAGTGACTTTATCTATTTTCAAAAGAGTGAACTGATTCTGTAACGAGTACAAGGTAGGTTACACATTGTGCTAAGGTTAATTGTTGCTACGAAAAGTTAGCGACAAATATCTGCGCACTTCTTTTGTCTGTTAGCTTATTACGAGATGACGCTGCAATGCATACTACACACTTTCGTACGGCCACGATACACGTACGAGGATTAGATGCGACAGAAGAACACACTACTCTCGGCCTCACAGCTAATTGTAGGACAAACATGCTATCGGTAGATGACTTTAATGCAGATTATTTTTTGCAATCAGCAAACATCTCATTAATAAGAAGATATATTTGGATGCTTTGAAGCATTTGCAGGAACGCGAGTTATAGCATTACTTACATCTACTTACTTACGTAAGGATGCACCATCAATATTCTGGCAATTTTTTAATAAATACATGTAATGAGCGTAAGGAGGATAAATATAAACTGCTTGTAGAGTATCGAAAAGATTTTGCTTTAAAGCAATATTCCCGTTATTTCTTGATACATTTGTATACATAATCGTAGCAACAGAACGAACGCACACTCAGTCATAACATCTAATATTTTTGTATAATTCAGTGAAATTGACTTTGTCTTGTAAGTGAATTATGGCATGTCTTTCTCTGCTATTATTTGTGTTGAAAAAATAGAGCAGCAATAAACGACAACCTTGACGTTTGTTAAGCTATTTATTTATTTATTTTTAAACAACTATTACGTACAAATTGCATACATACTTTTTATTCTTTATATTAAACATGTTCATTACTCCATGGAGCAACGGTCAATAAGCGAAACAAAGTAAAATGTACGTAAATATGTTTCATATGTTTTATATGCTCCTGTGAATCAATTTGCAGAACAACGTAATATTGCCAAACACTCTAAAATAGTGTCGGTGGTGAAGGATTTGACAACTTTTGTTCACAACGTCGCCCTTCTAGATTTCCAGCAACTAACTAACACCAAAAACTTTTGTACATGGGAAAATAATTAAAACTTTCTGTATATATTTTTAAAAATTCACGAGTGAAACCGGGCTAGTTCGCCTTTGTTCGAGCAGAATATTTAACAAGCTCTTAATTGGTTGAGAAAAAATTCATAATTTAACATAACAAATTACGCTTTTGAACAATTTTCTGGAAATTTTTCCTGAACTGTTGAAGCAAAATTGTCGCATATTTTTAATGCACTGCTTTTGTCAACGTTCACATGATTTGCCACTAGGTAACTAAGTGAAAAGCTTTCCGTTTTTAAATGACGCCTCAGTTATGAAATATACACTACACGTATAACACGGTCACGGGCAGAGAGAAGCGATAAAAGAGAAAAAGGTAGGGAGATATGCCGCGGTCTAGTAGGTCCCTGCCCACTCGGTAAGGATTGTGTCTTTAACGACTGAACAGTCTAAGTAATAAAGTAGACTACGTTCTATTGAAAAAGTAAAGGGAATTGCAAAAATTATCTATAAATGGTATTAAATACTTTTCATCAAACCGTTAATAAAGCAATACTGTTGGCATCAAATGTAGCGCAATTACGAGGATATTGTAATGTTCTTCTTTGGATATGTATTGTTTATCCCTTCTCATGGAGCCTGTATTTCTTCAATATGACAATTTGATTAATCATATTAATCAACTTCCAGAAACTTATTTGAAAAAGGACTTTGCGGAAGAAAATCGATTTCTTTCGGAAAATTGTAATACCAAGCGAAGCACCTTTAAAAGCTTTATAAGACAAGAAGAAACGCTGACCTATCTTCCCAGCGCTTAAATAAAGACTATTCATTCAGATTTTTTCGAGGCTTTTGTACATCGAAGGAAGTTTTCAAACAATTTATTATCTCCTTTCCATATTTTGTATTGCTTATAAGTCCGCATTTTTAATGGGAATTCGTAAGAAATGTTCCTATTCCACACCAAATTCAACTGATAAGGAACGAACTGTACTTTTTTATTTATAATAAAAGTGGGAAAATTAATAATGTATATCTGTACATTTATTTATTTATTTATATTTTTACACATGAAATTTCGGTACGATAAACTAACGACCGAATTCAACCGACTCTTACAAATAAATCGTTTGCTAAGTGTTATTAATAGCTACTACAAATTATTTAAAGAAAAATTACTTTAAAGGCCAATTGCCAACTTGAGAGCCTACTTGCCAAGTTTTCAAGGCGTTCCCTCGTGGTTCTCGCGCGGATGTCGTATACATTGCTTTTAGTAAAGATTTTGAACTAATTAGTCATAATTTATTGATTTACAAACTCTAAGCCTGTGACCTGCCTCTGGATAAGTTCTTATCTTCATTATCGATTATTCACGTCATCATTTTCACGAATTCCTGTCAGGACTTCAGATCTAACTCAACGCTGCCGCTTAGGATCTTTCTATATATTCCACACATCAATAACCTCCTTTCCGTGATTAAGTCCAGCCGTGTCGTTACGCACTCTGGCGATATTAACCATTCTTCTCACTTTGACTCGCAATCCGACTTAGATAATAGAGTTACATGTAACTCATTAAGTTTTATGAGATTAGGCCTAAAAAAATGCTGGCAGCTTTTATTCTCAAGGAGGAGTTTATTAAGTACTAATCATTTCATGGATTCACAAAAACTGGGAATGGAGATTCGTTCATGAATTTAAGCCATTTATTCGGGCAAAGACTGCATTTTAATTTTCACCTTGAGCTCCTTTTAAATAAAACTAGATCAGTGATCGATTTTATTAAACGGTGGGCCAAAGATCTTGACCATCCTTTTCAAAAAGAAGTACGCATGGGCTTGGCGAGGCTAATAGTTGAATTTGTCTCTATTGTATGATCTCTGGTAGAATCCGTTCAAATGAATTATCAGTTAAACCCGAAATCAACGGTTGAAAAACTTTATCGGAAGTACACAGCAAAGAGATTCGAGATTTGAGTATCACCGAAGGAGTCGGAACGGTAAAAGAGATGGAGGAGGAACGATTTGAAGGCACCCGAATAACCTTGGCCGTTGAAATCATTTTTCCAGGCATTGCAGTAGAATAGATGAATTAGTCGTGCGCGTAGCCACTTTTCATATATTTTTTGAGAAGTTAATTTTCCCATTTTTGTAGCATTAAACGTCTTTTTTGAACCGCGGTGTCCATGTACTTCGAAAGAAGGATGGTCTAATGGGAACGAATGCGGAAATAGTTAGGTGTAACACATTACGAAATGAGGATATTAGGGTTTCCGTATTCCCATCAGAACAATCAAATGTAATGAATAAAAGATCAGATTTAAGCAAACGTGATTCACCTTGTTAGACTGATTAATCTGGCCATCTTCTTTGCAATGAATGGATAAATGAGTTGCTAGATAATGCGAATCCTTAGGTGGGTTAAAAGATGAATAACGATTTACAATTACAATTATTCCCAGGAAATTGACAAGGCAAAGAACCAGCACAAGGAAAGATCTGTGTTCACCCTAAATTCCCTGCAAATTTCATCTGCTCATCACTTATTAATAAGTTAATATATTATATCTCCTTTTTATATTTCCCACTCTTATAACTTACCTTCTACAATATATATGGCTTTATTGCACTACATCGCAAACCAAAATGAATACCGAATTATTTTGGCATTACAGTTGATTACATTGTCATATACAATCATCAAATTCTTCTTATTAATATTTGCAAAACATATATAACAAGTAAAAACCTAAAAATGTATACAGTTCACATACCACCCAGGCAAGTGTATCTTCTGCTGGGTATGACATCGTTGTAAAGGTTTGATGAGGAAAGTTTGTTAACACACAAATAAGGTTTAACTTTTAACTTAGAAACGTTGTAAGCCACTTTTGCTTGAAATATTTAAGTCTTTACTTTTCCAATATATTTGATATGCGATGGGTAGTCGAATGCAACCTCTTTTCCTCCCTAGCTATAATTTTGCCGTAATATCTTGTTGGTCAGGCATGTGATGTGTAAGAATTTTAATGCCATTTTGGACTTTATACTTTTTACCAACACTTCTCGCTTTTCGCGAGTTGAGCTACGAATTCAAATGCATAGCTGCTCAATAACATGACAGCTTGCAAAATAAACATCAAGCATCATTATGGATGTACATGGTAGAATTATCTTAACATACATTACGATGATTTCATGTGAATTCAACCGAAGCTTAAACAAATACTTTTATAAATAAGGGCCATTACAAAGACTGCAATAGCACAAAAGAGCGAAAAACTAGCAAAAAATTGATAGAAAAGGAAAAAAAGACATTATTCCCATTATACATACTTTGTTTTATTATATATAAATTAATATATAAATCAAATGCTCCAAAACTTCCATAATTTACAATAGTTACTATGACTTCAATTTCTATCGCTGGTTGAGCCACCAGTTACCACTAAGTACGTAAAGAATTCTGAAAGTGATCGTATATAAAACACACTTACGATAGAAGTTTGAGGAAAGTTTTTCTTATATTGGTTCGACCTTGTCGTTACCTATGGAATACTATACAAATATAGTTGTCCAGGAGAAATTGTTACGAGAGGATTTTAGCTGTGGTATGACTCATGGCTTTCCAGCTGACCCGTCCCAAGAAAATGTATAAAATCGAAGAAATTAAAGACCGGAACTTCCGCTACAATCTGGCTGGTATAGTTTCTTCTTCATTTGATGAAAGTATCTTTGTTACGTCTAAGTGTTCACGAAGTTGCAAACAGGATAGAAGGTAAAAACATCCAAGGAGAGAAGAGCAAGGAAAGGAAACCAGCAAGACGGTCGCGGTGAAAAGAGATTTCACGACTCACTTTGCTAAATGGATACGAAGTTTCGCGGGCTCAGTAGGTTTATTTATTCTGGAAAAGGAAGTTATGCTTCAGTGGTCGCAATAGCAAGGATCCCAATGCACTCTGGTCAATTTGTCAAGGAAGTTCTAGCCTATTGTAAGACGAATCCAGAGTGTTGGGCTAGTAGTCTCTATTATTCTGCCTTCTGCCTTAGGAACAGCTTAGGCAGCTCTAACCTGTCCAAGAGAATCCAATGAGTGCTAGACTGGTAGTCTCTGGCACCTAGAATTTTCTCTTACATGGGATTAAGTCATGGAGTGATTGGCTATTAAGGCAGTTTTACTATATTTTAAGGATAACTCAAAATATTAAACTACCAGTCTCTACTACTCTGCCTTCTCCCTTACAAATAGCCTAGGTGAGACATCTATCACCATCCTATGGATGGTGAACTAGTAGTCTCTACCACCCAGAATTTCCCTTCCGATAGACTAACCCGTTGTACGTTGGCCCTATTTGTCACTTATCCTAATAAAAACCTCGATAATTTTGCGCTTAACTCATTTCGTATTAAGTTCTACAATTACACCATTTTCTTAATGTAACTTACACTTTTCTAAGATTATGGCATTTACTGCAGTAAAATTTAAGTCCCTTATTATTAAACATCAATATATATGTATATTATGACAAATCAACCCGAAAAAAGGAAATAAGAAAGAAGGCGTTTCTTTTATATTTTTACTTTCCACTTAAATCTAGAGCTATATACATGCTTAAAATCTATTTACATCTAAAACTTATTAACTACCTAAATTTTCTCTCGCCTATATACAGTCATTGCAAAGTGTTATACACTAACCTCGTTAGATCATATGAATTTTTTTCTATGATAGAAGTGTAAGTTATTATTTGTGATTAATGTGTTAGCATGTTTAAGCGTTAGTGGGAAATCAATACTGAGGTATGGTTGCTCATACAGTTCGTCTAAGGTACGCGTAGGAATACACTTTTAAACAAGTCTGTTCTCTGGATACGTGCATCTTTCCAAACACTTGATGGCTGCGGCTACAAGAAATGTGTTTCGTATACCTTTCTGGAACATGGTTTCCTGACTGAGCCATCTGGCATTTTGTAGAGCTTTAGATTGCAACATTGGCTCAGGATTTTCCTCTCCATTACTCTTGGTCTTTTCATTTGATGGGAAGAGATTGCCGACCAGACCGGAAAGCGTAACTAACAACAGGTCTTATGATCTGTTTGTAGATCAGTAGTTTAATATCCTTATTGGGCGTGCACTTGCTCCGTAGTACATTCTGGTACAGGACATTCATACGTTTCGCCTTTTTCACGATATTGTCTATGTACCCGTACAAGTCAAACTTTTCGTTGAAAATAACCCCCAGATATTTCTAGTTTTCTTAAAGAACGACCAATATTTGCGCTGACCTTTTATACGATTTCACTGCCGTTGTGCTCCGGTTTCTGTAAGGTAGTTTTGGTTGGCTGGTACTTAAAACTAGTGCTTGCGTTCATAAGTTGCTTAAAGTGGAAAAAAATATTTGGCGTAGCTGTAATGATTGTAAATCAATTGAAATATATATCAGGTAGCTTGAGCTTAAGAATATTCAAATTTAGATTATCATATATAAGTACGTATCAAAAACATAACAGATTGGCTTGTAAAATGGGTTGTATAGAGGCTAACAAGTTGATTTATAAGAATGTTGTTAGATAAGTGGTGATTCCATATGAAGTTTTCAGGTAATTTGATAATTATTGAAGGATGAAGATACACTCAATTTACCGGAATGTTTGCAACACCCAAAAGGAAGTTGCAGAGGCCGTCCGAAACGGGTATATCTGTTATTAGCTTGAAATTTTGAATCAATCGGGCCATGTCTGCGTGGAGAGCGTTGTGCGCCCTCTCCTAGTTGCAAAAATCGACAAATCGACTTCGAATTCGGCAGAAAGGATGGAACTTCTTGAACGTAGTTTGGTGTTGAAGATGGAGTAATGTGGTCAAGGCGAAGTTTAAACGCATGTTTATTTCTCCAAGCAAAAATTCCTTCCAAAAGTTTTCTCTATATTGAAGACGGCGGCCGTCACAAAACATATCAAAAGGAGAGCTAACGGTCAGTATAGCGGGCTACCCGAATGTTCTATCATGAATTTTTATATAAAAGATTATTTTTACTATATTACCTTTTACAAATTCCAACTCTTTTTCTTTTTGTTTTCTTTCCAAACATTTTTTTTTCAGATATGGAGTAAGTACGAGCCAAGCCAACGAGATATGGCTTATATATCTTGATTGACGAAAATCCATACAACTTCAGTGTTTATACGCGATCAGATTTAAATATAATATAATTTATTTTTTTGCTCTTCGCACTATTTGAATATGGATATTTTTTGTTATAAATGCAATTTTGAACAACCAATGCTAACGTTAAGGTGAGCTATCTAGCTTTCATGTAATTCTACAGGTACAATGGAATGTATTTAACAGTGGTTGTACGTACATTGAAGCAAAAAAAAAAAAAGAAAAAGAAACTCATCAAACAATGCTGAATACTGGCTCATAAGTCAAGCTGAAAAGCGGAAGCATAATCTACCTTTACGTGATTACTTTCCGATAATTGTCCGCATTTCAGTGGTTTTCATTCTTTTGCACTCTTAGTTTTTGTTGACATTTTAGCTTAGTGCTTTCGTTCATATTTTCCAGAAAAATGCTTAATACAAAAAAGTTCAGTTTGTTTGATTATGCTCATCTCAATTCATTTTCGCTTCTTTATTCTTATACTATATGTTTATAGTTTGTAAATGGTAGTTGTCTTCTCCTCAGTAGAAAAAAGTTTATTATAAATACTTCTTTATTTTTCTTATTTTCCACATTTTTAGTTCACATTATTTACACACATTTTGTAGTGTACTTGAATATGGAGTAAAGAAATCTATGAAAAAAAGCAGTTTTTATATAAATAAAGCAGTTTTTCACAGATTAATTATCGTTACCATCTCGAATTGGCGCTTCCGAATTGAACCATCTGCATCCGTCCATCTGCAAGAAAGAAAAAATAAAAATGATATGATTTTTAAAGTACAAGAAATCCTCTAAGTTTTTTATTTTAAGATCTAAATGTTCCGAGCACATGAGGACCTTACAAGGGTTGCATAGAAAACGTAAGCTTAAACTAAACTTAAAATCAAACGGTTCAACTTCTTTTTTAAATTACATCAGGAGTTTAAAATTCAACATATGTACAACTGCTTTAAAAACCTATGAAAAATGATTGTGGTACGAGAAAAGTAATGAAAATATAGGTGCAGTTCCCGCATTCTGCATTTTTGGATGTTGTTTAGATAAAGTGAACGACCATTACTAGAAAGGGATGAAGTTGCCAATAACTTTCAAGACCAACATGTGAGGTGTCTTGACGTTGCAAAGAACGTTAGCATACATTAGCATTAGCATACATTCGTATCGATTTCAAAAACGCTCCATTGCTGAAGCCATTTTTATAATCAGGTATACGTGCTACAAGATTTTCTTAAAATGATGTAGCCCATAAAATCCGCCTTATGCGATTTCTCAGCTCAAATCCAAATTTCTCGCGTTAAAGTATTATTATTGTCGTATGGCGAATCTGACCGGAGGAATGGAGTTGTTCATAATCTGACTTTTATTTTTTAACAGAAGCCCGGAAACAGATGAAGGTTGGAAATATGGCCAGGGTCGGAGTTGGCTTGAAGTTCTTGCTAATTAAATTTTCCGATCCTTTATATAAAGTTTACAGCAAGCAAGTCCTTGGAGTCTCATTGCCATTTAGCTCGTCTTTGGTTTTTAATCAGAATGTTTTAAACCACATTTTCTGTTGTCAGACAAACTAGGCTCAATATATCAGAAAGAGTCAGTGGATTTTTTTTACAAATATCAAATTTACATAAATTTGATCAGGTCTTTAATTTTAGAATTAACTATCCTCAATCAAGTTACAACCATGTAAAACCATTAGAATGATCAGGATTTTTGAGCGAAAAAGCCATTCGTTCATCACTCGTTTTGCGATAATATACAAGAAACTTTCAAGTGAATGAACTTCAATAGTTTTACCCGCCTACATTTAGAGAAAATCAGTCAATAGCTCCTGGGACAAATATGTGAATGCCCTACTGAAGAAGAAACCCATATCATTTTTAAAGAACGCCAATTCCGAAGTGAGGCCTGTCCAAGTTTCATGTTGGTTCAATCGTTTGTTTACAAGTTATAGCGATTTCATTAAAGCTATTTTAGTTGCATTCAGAAAAGTGGAAAAATTTGGATTAAGGGCCTTGACTATTATTTGTTTAAAAGTCTCAAAAAAATGTTCCATGGAAAAAGATTTAGTTAAACTCATTGTGTGAAACAGCCACCGGAACGCGAGAATGATTGCAGAACTCTTGAAGAACACTAGTCTAATATTTCAAAAAAATTGTGTTTTCTTATTTAATTTATACATTGTATTCATTACTACTGGTCAACTGACGCCAGTAGTAACGATATGTGCTAACATTAAGTGCTTCTGTAAGCATTTTCACAGGCAAATTAAATTGCGTTGTAATTATGTAAACAATGTCCTATTATTTGACTTTAATTACTCATGCATAATTAGAGAACAGACTGTTCTTTTTGTCTTCATTGTTGGCGTTAATGTTGATGCTTTCAGGATTGTTTTAATTATTATAACAATAAACATCATTTGCTGAAGTAACTTGAAAAGCATATTCATTTGGTTAAAAGCTTCGGAATTAAATTATAGCAAAATGAAGGGAAAACCGTATAAAATCTGGAAATTATAAGAAAAGAAAATAAAAACGTAGTAACAAAGCCACACAAATTAAATGTGTCCCCTATAGATTAAGTACTTTCTGTTTTTCTCTTTACTTTCCTATCGAATAAATAAAGGGCGAAAAAAATCTGTTACCTTTTTGTGGCTAAGAAAAGCTAAAATTTTACTCAGTCCATTTCTTTTCGCTTGCGTTCACTCATAATATATGAAACACTATTTGATAAAAGAGAAAGGTTATTGTTCAAAGACTTTAGCCTGCGGTTGGAATCTTCATTACATAAGACTCAATTAATCCACCAAAGATCTGCACTCTACAAAAACGCAGTGGAAAAATGAAGAATCCTAAGGCTCAGTAGAAACTTTTAATATCTTAAAAGTCACACTATATAATGATCTGAGCTAACCTGACGATGGAAAGATTCTGGTCGCCCCTCTGCAAGTTCTTGTGGACAATACTTTCTGAAAGTGAAATCCATACACGTACTACCGACAAGTCTGTTATTTGCCCGGTGGTCTGCTATTAGCTATTAAAGGGTTTGTTGAAAGAAAAATAAATTATGAATGGGAAAAAGTCACCATTTTTTCCTAGAGAAGCAAAGATGTGTCCATTATAAGCTTCACTGTAGGCGTGTCTTTTGATCAATTTGACCAATTTTTAGTACCAACTTACGTGTAAGAACCTTTAGCATACTTGGAAAATTTGAAATATGTCATTTGACGATTAGGAAAGTGTCACTAAAACACATAACCCAGATGCATAGACACGTAGTTGCAGAGATAGAGAGAGCCAGACCAGACTGATTCAGGATTTCACGCTAATTAACAATGTGTACGCTTTATAAGGTCTCGGAAGCTTTTCTTGGGATCTGCAAACATTCTGAACAAATGAATGTAGCCAAGTGTTTCAGCGGTAGATGTGAAAATATACATACACATATGTATGAAAATTGTTTTTAAAACAATTTATTGAAATAGTGTCTATTAGTAGTGCCCTAAAAAATTCGATAATTATCTTTTATATAACTTACATACAATAAAATGGTTGTGCAATGTCTAAGGCAACTTCTCAGCAATCCTATGGAAATGTAGTGTATTGTCTGTATTCTCTATTTTATTGAGTAATTAGTGCGCTCTTCTATTGTAAACCTAGTACATTCCATCTAGTATTGAATGTCTTGGGAAATGTTGTCTAGAGTTTTGGCCCATATTCGTTGTCATTTTAGGTTGCTATATTAATAGTGAGTGCGATAGGTGTTGTTAATTGATGTTACATATGTTTCTGTGGCGCGATTGTTCTTAGCAAATATTCTTACTTAGAGCGATTTTAAGCCATTTTTTGGTGTGATGATTATCATAGGATATAACTACCGCTATGTTTGTTCTGTTCTTCTTTATAGTTCTTACTCTTTCTTGTAGCTACTAGCTTTCTAGGCGCTTATGCTCTGATATTTAGCTGCTATTAAAATTACTTTCTGAAATTCATTTGTTTTCATGTTTTTTTTTTTTCGACGATGATTATTCATAGTTTTTTTTTTCTTTTGCGGCCGTTCAAAACCCATTTAGCCTTTTCTTGTAACCACCATCGAAAGATGAGAGTATATTCGCAATCTCAAATCGTTTTCAACATTCAGAAAGAAGCCTCAAAGAATAAAGTGAAGTCTGTGTAGTTTTGATCAGCATCGAATTCTGAACAAGTTTTAAACATGTCCGTGTGTTTATTGGTAACAATTAAGCTTAAGGCCTTAAAATTGAACAAAAACATTGTGAAGTTCTTTAAAACGGGCTATGGGGTTTAAGGGCATGCCCACTACTCTAGTAAACTAAAAACGACCCTGTCTTTCAAGAAAGTAGTTTTTCTTCCGTTATTCACAAACTACAGCAGATAAATTCGAAAAACTTTGAATCTATATTCTATGCAAATACCTGGTATTACAGTCTAGCAAACTTTTATTTTTTGTCAAAACCTTTATAACGCTTTCCCTTTATTGTCTTCAAACTACCAAATAAATTCGAAAATAAACCCACAAGGTCGAAGGACACGGTTACAACATCCGCACGTCTATGCAACAAAAACAGAAAAAGATGAGAACATCTTTACGCTCCATGTTTCTTGCTCGTTATCCATAGACTGAAATGGATATAAGATATAAATTTCCTCCTTTGCTCTACAAAAATAGAAAAAACCAGCCAATATTATAGAGTATGGAATTTTAGCTTTTCCTCTCTTTTTTAGTGCGTTTTAGGATTGTTACTATGTTACAATGTTACTCCTTGTTTTGCTTGCGATTGATAAGTTGCAAATTTTCTCTTCTATAAAATAAAAAATAAAAATTTTGTAGTGCTATACAGATGCCCTTTTTTTTGGATTTTGCAGATTATTTTTAAAATTTCTTCGAGCACAACTCTTTCGTTATTTTGCAGCCGGTTAAGATTGTGTTTCGTAATATCTCCGATGCAATCAACTCAACTGAAAAGTAAATGAAACTTAAATACTTAATTGCTTAAAATAATACGTATACTTTTCATTTACATAACTAAAAATTTAAATCTGCAATGGATTGAAGTAGTTAAAGCGGGCAATCCATCTTGCTGTAGAAAATATCAAATGAAAGGTCAAGCTCTCAAGCCTGACCGACTTTTTAACAAATTAGTTTTAAGAAACGCTGCTTATCAGCGCGAGAATTCTTTGTCACTACTTTTGAGAGATTAAATGCTCCACAAAAAGAAAATGAATGAAATGCAGTAAGCGAGTGCTGGGCGTACGCTCAATGACAAACAGAAAGATAGTTTTATATTGATTTTGGTTGCTAGGCAGTTTCTTAGCATGCATTTAAATAGGTCTGGTAAATATTTATATTAAATTTTCAACCATTGAAAACATTATAGCTGGGCTAAGGCAGCTATTAAATAGCCTACACCACCTACTGTATTCTTATTTTTGCAATAGTTTGCAAAGTTTTCATCCTGTCTTTGTGTATATGACAAACGCTTACTTTCGGTAAGAATGGAAAGAAGAAAAATGGCCGCAATACTATTACTCAGCTAGTTGGGCCGAAAAATTGTAAAATTTGCAATTTTCAAAATAGGGCGTTATAGGGAAAATGGCAGAAAAAGTGGCGCGATCCAGACTATTTTCAATAGTGTTCGCCCTTGACTTAAAACACGTCAGTGTACAAAGTTCACTGCATAATCGGCTATGGTATCGCTAAGGTAACTTCACTTATCAAATTTCATTTCGCTTTTTTTGCATATTTTGTTTTGGTGTCCTTTCTATTAAAACTAATCAAAAGCTCCCTACTTCTACAACAATCTATTTGCAGTGATTTTCCCCGTTAATGTGGGAGTTTCCACGTGGATAAACGTCACTTTCTTTTTCATAGATACTGCACGAAGAGCAGTATCTATTATTATTTAGGGCCAAAAATGCTCCAAATTACCTTTACATTTTTCTTTTTATAAATATATATATGAATATGTATATGAGTCTTATTATACACATTCACATATCTGAAATAATGCTGCATCATCCCTTAATTTAAATATTTCAGAAAGTTTAGTAAAAGCCTTTGGTCTACACTTCGTTCGGTGTTTCCTTTCGCTTCTTTAAATTTTCCTTATTCTTTCGATTATTAATCGTTTACTCATTTTTTCAATTCAATGAACTTTAATCTTTTCACTTACACTTGTGCTATGTAATTAAAGCCTGATATATGATTATTATTATTATTATACATTTAGAAAGAGAATAAATTTCTAAGTCTTAGTCTTAAAGCACCTAGCATCTAAGACTTTCGACTTTATTAAAAACTCTACAGCACTTGAGATTTGAACCCACGACCTTTGAGTTGCTAGCCGAGACTCTTGACTACTCAAGCCTGATATAATAACTATGCTATTTAGTGTTTAGTAACAACCTTTGCACATATATCTGCAACATGTACCATACGCAAAGCACATAGGCGAAGGTTGTTTTTTTCGTTAACCGATACTTTTTGACTGTATTTTTTATTTGTTTAAATATATATATATGCTTGAAATTAAAAACGTTTTATAAATATCTGACAACGAACTTTCGTAGAAAGTTGTATAAAGAAAACACATGTGCATCAAATTTGTCCCTTTAAGTTGTTATTGGAATTCTTCCGTCAGTTCAGTTATAACATTATCTAATTGAAGTTTTTCGGGAATTATGCTTTAGAGCGAGAAATTTGCATCTAATTTTTCGCGGAATTATAATAATAGTGTAACAGATAACTTGGTTCTATCATTTCTTTTTCCAGAAATTATATTATATAAGAAATAAATTTCAAAATACGTTATCTACTTTTATTTACAGAATTTCTAAGTAGGCAACAAAGTTCCTAATTACACTTTTCTTTAAATGTTTAAAAAACCTTTCTTTAGAAATTCCTAGCGTCTGGCCGTCTACAGGACTATTCTACTTCTGTGTTCTATGTTCTACTATCGTTTGGAATTGAACAAATTTTAATTCTTCTTCAAAAAATTTAAATGTTATAATTTTCCTCTGTTGGAAAGTTTTGCTGATGTCTTGCCAAAATATTGTTTAAAGCTTGTTAGCTCAGTTAATTATCTTGCAGTTGGAATGCATGAATGCACCTATTCTTCCATGTTGCTATTAGAGAACTACGCCAGCTGAATATAGGAATTTTTAATCTTTACTTCATAACAAGTGCATTCATAAATCATTCTATTTACTGCGAACGTAATAAGCTATGCACTATACCTGAAGGTTACCTTACCTCTAATAACATTCGAATACAATAGCCAATAGTTGCCTACCGAACACATTCAACTAACTAATCTAATTGATATCATTTAATTATATATTTCATAAGACGACTCATCTTGTCCAAATGCCTCAAAGATGCCTATCAGAAACTTGAAAAGGTCAACTGCCCGAAAACGTTGTGAGATGCTAATTTCGATTTATGCATATAAGTTCGTCGGTTCTTTCGCCTAATCTTTCCTTCTCTTCCACTTTTTGGTCCATTCCTTTACTGGTGTTACCTCAATCTGTTAATATTTACGTATTTCACTAGAGAAATGCAATAACAAATATTTAAAAAAATGTCTTTCAATAATAGAAAGACCACCGGCGGCTCATTGCCATTTTCACTTTTGATGTGAAAACGTTGAAAGTGAGACTTGGTGGGCTTTTTCCTTTCACAGAACTATTTTCCATAATATACATTGTATATTCTTAAGGATTGCAAGAAAATTTGAAATCGCGTCTACCATTGACTTGCCATTGCTGTCCACTACTTTTTATTTTTTTATTAACATTATTATTTTATTATATTTTATTATTAACATTACTGTAACTGTTTGTCCACTCTTCGCACTTAGATTTTTCTTAATTTTTAGTTTGCGGTTCATATTTCAACAAATAGTTATTTTGCTGCTTTCTAGTGCAAAAACACCATAGGCGTTTAAAGCCACAGATGCACAAATTAGTTATACCCATAACTTTTCATTACTCAGTAGACCCTAAACAATTTACAAGGATACATATTTTTCCACTTATCATACAAGTTTGTTGTCATTTAATTGTATTTATATACAAGGGAAAATACATACCCACACACACTAGTAAATTCAAGCATATAAATTTTACAGTTAAATGTTTATAAGCTGAGTTTTTCGTATCATCATCATCATCCCCATCACCACATCGTTAGCAAATATTTGCTTTATTGCATTCTCTGAATATGAGTGAGGGTGCGTTGGTTGATGACATCACCATATCAACCTTGCAACTTTTTTTTTAATGGTCTAATCCATGTAGTATGCGTAAATTCGCGTTATGTGTGCACATAAAGAACGAGTTCAAATATGACGACTATTTTTTAGATATTGTCCAATCAGTACTGACTTTTATCTTACCGCCTCGTTACAGTTCGCATGTGTTATTCCGAAGGCTGTAAACTTTGAACTGACTCTGCAACTGTTTTATTGGCTTTTAACATGGCGCACTTCAGAACGGTCTCGTACATAGACATCTCGGACGGTCATTCATTTTCACTTAGAGTAGACCGTTGCAACCGGTATGCACGTAGCGCTGTAACGTGTTTCAAGTTCGAATTCTACATCTGTTAAGTAACGTTATTATCAATATTTATAGTGTTCTATTCCTGTTACTTCATGCCGGATATTCCGCTCCGCTTGCTTACTATTCCTCAGAGATAATTATTTTGCTGCTCAGAGAATGTTTCCCATTTGATACACGAAATTCTTTAGCATTTCTCTTTATAAAGCGCATGACTGTTCACATTCTTAATCTCTCATGTACGAGAATATTTTTCGGAGTTGATTCGGTAAACGGGAATGGAAGGCTTTGTTTTTTTATTATCGCACACGGAGTTTCAAAAATTTCTAACATGTCTCTCATCGAAAACATTGACAGTTTTATTTTGCCATTATGTATTGCGTTGCGGTGATGACTGTTTTGAATCTTTCCGTCCAACATACTATCCAAAAAATTTTTAGAAAATTTTATAATATACTATAATATTATAATTTCTCTTTTACTCAATTTTCCTCTATGTATTTTAAAAATAATGAACTTAATAAAACGTCGCTTATTTGTTTGAAATTAGCTTGAGTTGTTTCTTTCGATTGGTTCTGATGTTATGCTCCGTCATAGTTTACTCTGCAATAGTCGCATAGTATGGCTCTTCGAAACGTTTCATCAATACCCAGTTTCGGTCATTATCACTATATTAATGGCAATAAGCGGTCAATTCAAGCACGTCCCTTACGGTAGAGGAGAAATCTAACGAAGTAACATGAATAATTCTGTAGGGGACGAATATTTGTAAATTTATATAATTATTGATGCGACGAATACAAGGCAGCCATTTGCAGTATGGCAAGGTATGACACCTATGCGCAAAATTCTTGTGATCTGGTAGTGGCGTGAATTATTTCTATTACTTTGCTTTAGAGTACTACACTTCATCTAAATAAAGAAGGCAAGTAGTTATAGCTAGGAATAATAATGACGAAGTAATAATGATTTATTCTCGTTTAAAAAAAATAAGCACCCTGGCAGAACGCAAAAGTGGCTTATAAAAATTTTGTGGTTTGATTTGATTAAGGGGATTACTACCAGATTGCAACGTGTAATCAATTAATTCGATAAACAATTTTGATAATTCTCTCTTACCTTATCCATCTAACAAAGAATATATCATATCAGCCATGTTGAAAAACATCTTCCAAGTAGTCCTCCTTCAAAATGAAGGTAACTTTTTTTTAAAAATAGTAAGGCAGTACTTTCTATATAATTGATTGTCCTTGAACTTTCCCATGTATCCAAGAACTACGCTAAATGATCGTTCTCTGTTGGTCCCATCGAAATTTACTCTTTATTTCTACCATGTTAAACGTGGCGCCGATGCCTCGATCGAGAACTTAGCAATCGCAACCTGTCGCCGAAAGATGGACTTTGCCAATCATTGTGGGCCAGCTGGTATAATTTCGAGTGCATGATGATCCTCTCAATTCTCATCACATCTTAACACTATCTTGCATGCCATAGTGGAATTTGACAAACTCTAAATATGCCTTATTTGACACCTATATCGAAAGGTAATTAAACAAGTGAGAGGCCGGGGCCGAATTTTTTATACCCGTCAACATTACCCTAAAAAAGACAAATGATTTCCTTTATTTTCGAAACAAAAGTTTTTGTCGCATAGGTTTGTGGGCGTTATAGGCGTGCCCTTTCAAAAGTTTAGGTCAATTCTAAATTCTTTTGCAAACTTACAGGCGATCTCTTTATTTTCGTTAACGGGAGATTGTTTTCCACAAATGTGACAAAGTTGCGCAAACAGACAGATGAATATATGAATAGACGGACATGTTTAAGGGCATTCCAAATTTGAAACTGGCCAAGAATTTGCTTAGGTTTTTCAAGCTGTTTTCTACACGTTATTAAGGCATTGAAAAACAATTAAATTTTAATACGATATCGGTTAGGCGTGATCAATTTTTTCTATTTTTGTGCACAAATGGTACAGCATCGCCCATAGAATATGCTATCTATCAAACCAGTTTTCCATTAATTTTGAAAAAAAGACATGTCCTCAGTTTACGTGGTGCTATGGGTGTGTCCTTCGACCGATTTATCCCGTTTTCAATACCAACCTGGGTACAAGAATTTTCAATGTTTTTGCCAAATTTGAAGTCGATGGCTGCATTTTGCGGAGAATTTTGACAACTGCCATTACGCAGACGGGCGGGCAGGTATACTTAAATAGCTAATTAAGAATATGTATATATGTACTTTGTGGGGTCTTTGATGCTTCCTTCCGGGCTTTGCAAACGCTTTGACAAAATGAATGTACCCCTCATTCTTCGGCCATGGGTATGAAAAAGTGCATCTGTTACCTTGTTGCCTACAACACAGATTTAACACATCTTTAACACATCTTTAGTGTCTTAATGTAAAGAATGTATACATTTGTTTTCTACTTTCGCCCTTATTTTCCTTATGAGTAACAAATAGAACACATCATAAAAAAGTGAAAGAAGACTTTGTTTCCAATTTTGTTCAGGTTTTGAACATATATACTAGGGATGCTAAACTAACAATCTAACTTACCTTAAAAAAGAAGGGCAGCCGACAGTCTCAGTTGTTTGAAAAAAAAAAAAATAATAATAATCAAAGTAAATAGTCTCTTATTTTGAAGCTAAGAACAGAGTATCGCTCATACACTCACCAGCGCGTCTTTAAACACACCAAGATGCAAGTCAATTTCTTTGCACAACAATTTACATACAAACGCACAAAGAAAGTACATAAAGACTTGCTGGGATCAAAAAAGTGGGGTACGTAGATTTAAGTTTAGTTTAGTTATCGTGTATATTTTAGGTTTAGTATGAGTTTACTTGCAAATAAGACAGGCAACATGATAGACCGGCGACAATATAAACCTGAGATGCAAGAACTAATGGAAAGGGGGTGAAATAAGTTATCACAACTTATCTGAAATCATTGCCAGAATTTGATCAACTGGCAACACGGACGAGAGCGAAGCCGAGGTCAAGACGAAAGAAGGAGAATTTTACTTCATTCTTCTGTTTCAGACTGCCCGAAAGCTAACCACGCTCTATTTAAAAGATTTGCTTCTGTCTCCTGTCTCGAGTGAATTGAATACAAAAAGAAAAGGTAAAAGGGTACAATAGGGTACAGAATTTACGTGAAATAATTATGAAAGTATACAACACAACCGTTGAAGTGCTTTTTGAAAACCTCTGAATTTAGTAAAGCAACACCTAACGTGTGCATTAACAAAAACATGTCGATGGTGTCCTTCTCTCTTAAATTTATATAGAGAAAACTAAATGGTTAGGGGAAGAATAAGCCGACAAGTAATCGGTGGCTAGGTTTCATTTAAGTGGGGTTCCGGATGAATACAAATTTTCTTGAAAAGCTTCTTCTGAGTCGACGGTGAAAAACCCAGGCGAAAATTTTTTACTCTATGAATTCATTCTTGATAAATTTCTCTTTTATTAGAGAAACTTATTCAGCCGAAAAGATGTATTGATTAAGTTACGATTTGATACTACATTTAAACCCTCTACTTATCAATCTTTACTAACATGTAATTGACTGCGAGTGAAAGTTTATCTAAGCGTATAAATGTATTTCTAAATAATTGTGTACAAAGTTACTTTTTGTTAACTTTTATTCTCATTGATTTAACATTGAATGAACAAACACTTATTGCTTTCAGATTGAATTATATATGCCTGTGAAAAGGCGAATCATGCGCATTGAAACTTATTATTATTTCTTCTATGATGTTGTAAAATCAAAATAAGAAATCTTTAGAAAGAGTTTTCAACTGTTATCTTTAAAAGGCAAATAATAAAAGCTTTATCGGGTTTTTCGCTAAACTTATAAATACTTATTTCAATTCACTTTATTTATTTATTTACTAAATATATTTTATTTATTTAATAAAAAAGATAAAAAACAAAAAACTATGATAAGAACAATGAAGATGGCAAAAGCTTATGCACAATGAAACTGACAGACAATGTGCCAAAACCGCGGATGCTCTCCCGCTCTAAATCCTATTGTTTAATTATACAACTAGTCCTACAACTGTACATAAGTACATTTATGTAGGTACATAAATGGCAACCAATAACTCAGTTCATGTTGAGAAAATGAACGTTGCGTTTAAAAAATGTTCAAGTTTTTATGAACAACGCGGAATGGAAAGAGACCGTAAATTGCACTGAGAGAGCCTAATTGGAACAGAATGCCTAGAATAACGAGTTGGAGCGTTCAAACATAATTGACTGAGCAACAATGGAGAACTAGCGTCTCCATTTATCAGCTTAAACACAAACGACATTCCTAACATGTGCCTTCTTCGCTCAGGCTATTTTCATGGTGTGGGAAGGGTAAGGGTGTGGCCCACGTAACGCAAAAAGGAACAACTGTTTTGAATTGATTCTATACTATCTATCTGACAAGAATAGCTTTGAATAGAATTTATTTTTTTCTTTAATCTTATTATAAGCACTATTTTCCATTACCTTTCATTAGATTAAATGAACTTCAGACAACAAAGTAAAGGTTCAGAAATATATGGAACATATTTCGTTTTGCATGGATGACTTTTTACAGAATTTTATAAAAGCAAAGAGTTACGGGATTTTAAACCAAAAGCGGTCTTTATCGATGGCCTTACTTGATTAACTCTTTTTACTTACTTACTTTTAGCTCCCGTACTTACTTGAAAACCCTTTTAGGTATTCACTTAACTTCTTGTACACAAACATTACTTTTGAACATACTTTATTACGGTTTCCAATAATTTTGATATCTCAATGTTTACTTCAGAATATCTATGTATATAGAGACGTAAACTGAAAATGCCGACTAAGCC